TATTTTCTTCAACCCACATGTCCCAAGATGCTTTGCAAAAGGTTTTCCAAACTCATATTCAAATTCTTCACCTTGTCAAAATATTGCTCACTTATCAGTGGCAAAAGTGCCTTACTTTCTTCTAAATTCACATTGAAAGCTTTTTTTAGGCACTGATAATAATGATTAGGATGCAACAATCTACGATGTCTGAGATAGACATTCTTCATCCCATATCTAATCTCACTGAATGTGTACTCTCTTCATAAATAGGACATCTAAGTTTTCCTTTAATACTATACCCTAACAAATTACCATATGCTAGAAAATCATTGATTGTGCCAAACAACAATGCTCTTAAATTGAACATTTTTCTCTCTATGGCCATCATATATCTTAACATAGTACTCCCACAACAATTTTAAATATTCAATTAAAGGAGCTAAAGATATGCCTATGTTATTTTTCGGCTGTTTTGGCCCCGAAATTAGAATGGATAGCATCATATATTTTTACTTCATACATAACCATAGAAGTAAGTTGTAAATTATCAAAATAACTGGCCATGTATTGTGACTGCTACTTTGAAGCCCATGTGGATTCATTCCATTAGTAAATAGTACGAGGTGAAGGTTTCTATCTTCTGCTCCAAAATAAAGGTAATCGAGATCAACTTTTTTTCCATTAAAAAGAGTTAGTTGGATGTCGAAGCTTTTCATCTTTGATCCGTTCATCCGCATGCCATGTTAAATTTTTTGTATCCTCTGCACTACTGTACAGTCATTTAAATCTAGGTATAATAGGAAAGTACCACGATGCCTTCTTTAGTTCTTTAGACTCTACCCATTTTCTTTGTAGCACAAAGCATTACATTTTGGACACTTCGTTAATGATACATATTCATTTCTAAATAATATGCAATCATTAGGACAGGCGTGTATTTTCTTATAACTCATACCAATTGAGCGTAGCATTTGTTTTACCTCATACATAGTCCTTGAAAGCTCATTGTTCGTAGCTAGAAGTTATTTTATAAGTGTAAGATTTTCTGTAAAGCTCTTATCACTCATCCATTGCTCACTTTCAAGTTGTACAATTTCAACACCGCTGACAACTTTATGAATTCGATGCAACTAGCGTACAAGGGCTTCTCTGCATCACTTTTCAACTTCTCTAACATTTTAGGACAATCCTTAAGTTTCCTTTCAATTACATTGGCCATCTCTTCAAGACAATCACTCTTACAAGTATTTATGTCATAACCATCTAATTCAAAGCTTCTTTTATACTCCTAATTACTAGTAGACTCATCCTTTCTAGTCTTTCCATCCTTATGCTAACACTTATAATCTTCATCAATTCCGTAGCACACTAAATGGTCTTTCAACTCAGATGTACTAATTTGCTTCAAAAGATCACACCTTACACAAGGGCATACTATTCTTCTAGGAACTTTTACATGCTTAAAAGCAAACCTCATAAACTCTTTCACACCATTTAAATACTCTTTACTTAATTGATTGGCAGACATTCATTCTTTATCTATAACTTTTTAATCTAAAAGACAATTCATTTAAGAAAATGTGATCAGTGACTCATGAATATAGAGAGGAAAGAAATGATATAAAGATTAACAATAAAGAAATTGACTACTTTACATATAATATAGAATATTTAATGAATCATGAGTCACAATGCATAAGCATTCACATACTCCTTCAACCGCCGAAAAAAAAATCAGCAGCATAACGACATAAAAAAAGTATTTCTCAGGCTAAAACCCTCTTTTCAATCCTAGCATCTCACTCAACAAACTAATTTCAACTATATACAATCACAAAACTAACAAAAATTCTCACAAAATAGCATTTTCAAATTAACTCTAATTATTATAAAATTATATCTAAAATTCGTTTAAAAATTATAGAAAAAAGAAAAACACTATAAACATATTTTGAATCAATGTTTTTTATCTCATTGATCATTCTAAGGTTACACATATCCTATATTAGCAATCAAGCCAAGAACAAATCATTCTTTACCAAATGTACAAATATCAATAAAATAACAATGATTTTTAGAGAAACTGCACGTTAGTTTTGATCACTAAAATGAACTCCAATTGTAATGAAAATTGGTACACTAGTTCATTTTAATATGTAGTTTTGAATAATAAAACTACTATGATCAAACAATGCATGAAATTTAAATTAAAAATTATTGAAATAAATCAGTCAAAATTCATAGGAAAATACAATCATCATAAATATCCCATTTTGATCACTAATTTTTATCTTAATAATCATCTTAAGGCTATGTATATCATGTACTACCATTCTTAAATCAATAAAACATCAAATATTAACAATTTTCGACACCCCACAATATCAAAATGGGCAACAAATGAGGAAAAATTTAAACAACAAAAATCAACTAATAAAATAATTCATAATATTAAATAAATCAATTCCATAATCTAAAAATCTAAGGATATTGGAAGAAAATGAAGAAAAACCATAGAAATCACACACTCATGTACCTTGGAGAAGAGAGGATGAAACACAAAGAGGAAGCAAATGAGAGGGGCAACAGACAGCGTAAGTGGAGGAACTTTCACGTTGGAGAGGACTAAGGTGGTCAATGACAAAAATGGAGGAAGATTGAGAGATTTCTACTGATTTCGTATGCAAGTAGAGAAGAGAGAATACTAAGACGAACGGGCGAGAATGAAAAATGAGATCGAAAACTAAATAAAAAAGGAAATAAATGACAGGTATCCTAATAACCATCATTTATTTATAATATATAACGGGTGTTCATATATCATGAGAACTTTAAATGATAGTTGTTTCAAACAATCATCATTTAAAGTTCAAAATTTTTTATTTTTTTCCTTTAAGAAACTAAAACATTGGCCAACAATATATGATGGGTGCTTAAAACACCCATCATTAATTGTTCATACTTTAACCCGTCTTTTAAAGTTCAAATTTTATATTTTTTTATTATAAAAAAATGAAACGATGGCCATAATATATGACGGTTGTTTGTAAACCCCTCATGTATTGTTTACACTTTAAATGAAGTCCAATTTTATTTTTTATTTTTTTTCTAGTAAATGAAACGTTAGGTTGAAATAAATGATGAGTTTTTTAAATACCTATGATTTATTTTCTAACCGTCACCAGCCTCTTTCATATATGACGTATTTTTATTTGACCAACATTTTTCACGACGTCTTATATTTACATTTTTTGTGTTTATTAATTTCCTAATTATTATATAACTCCTTATTAATAAATAGGGGTTCAGATTTTCTCCCCCGCAGGGCTGCCTCCATCCCATACCATCAACAATCAATACCGTACATTTTAATCCAACGGCCCACAAATACCAAGCTGTGCGTTAGCGCATTGGAATGTCACTGCCAGAATAAATCAATAAATAATAGGTCTTATGCATCAAAAAATTGTTGCACTTTGAAACGATCAACGAATGAAAATAATTTCAATTTGTCATTATGCTCCTCCAACCTTTAAGATTATTGAGCTTTACCCTCCCCCTTTATTGGGTACGAAAATAGTGAACTTATTATTCATATATGAAGATTAATCACACTATTCATTTAAAATTAATTTTGTTCATAAATAAATTTAAAGGAAGGGAAATCATGAGCAGTTTAAACTTTAAAACTAACATGAAACTTTGAATTCTACCGTTCCAAGCAAAAAGTTTCGTGGAATTGGTAACTTTTGGTTCCAAGATCCGGAAGTATTATTATAATAAAAGAAGAAAACCAAACGACGTCATAAAAAATAAAGCCTTTTTTTGAGTTCAAATCCATAAAATCAACGCATATCCGATTTCAGTAGTTTCCTAATGTATGATATATTAATCAAATAAAATCTGTTAATATTAATTTATTCCAGAATATAACTACATCTGAACAATTACTAATAAAATTAATTAGAAAATCTCGATAGGAGATGCTTTCCGATTAATTTATGTGATTGTGTGATTTATTATAACTATATACATCATAATAATTAACACGTAAATTAAATTTTCATAATTTTTGTCATCATCAAATTTAGGTGGTGTTGTTGGAATATTTATAAATATTACAGATTTGTATTAATTAATTAGCCCAAACATATTGATTATTTTTATAATTTTGTGTGGATCGTGATAGGTAGACCACAAAAGTAAGCCTAATGAATAGAGACCCAACCTACAACCTTGTAACCATCAGTTATTCTTTATTTCTCAATTGACTGGGTCAAGGATAATGTGAAATACTAATTATTAATTAATTATTTTGTTATTGATATGATCCATATAAGTGGATCAATCGATAACCAAAAATACAACTCTTTTTTCATCCTCTCAATTATCTTTGCACTCACTAAAAAACTATAGAGGTTTAATAGATTATACGTCTACCCACACTCGAGATAATTGAGGTACCATAATCAATCATAAATTATTCAAATATGCATGTCACTTTACTTAAACCTTATTTGATTTATATGAATTGATATATTAAAGTTAACAGGTGTATCATGGAAAATACTGATGTACAAAATTTCATTTATTATATCAAATTAATCTAAAAGGTTGCTTGCATCTCACGGAACGTAACTTAATGGAGCATTTAGCCGTTATAAGAAAATTGAGTAGTAAGCGAATCGATACATAATTACATATAATGGCCAGTCAATATTCCAGAATCCAGTTTACATCAAGAACATGTTCACAATATTTACACACACAATTAAAAAAAAAATGGTCACAATATGAAAGTAGACTCATATGAACCCAGAAACCACATAAAGAACATGTTCACAATATGACGTAGACTCATATGAACCCAGAAACTACATTACATATTACACAGTATTTAATAAAAAAATAAGAGTTACAACCCAAGTTTAACAGTATCTGACGTATGGCCAACTCGTTTACATATTTACGTATATTACGTCTGATCAGTAAAGTAGCTAAGTACCAAATATAAAATATCAACGAGGGACTATGTAGGCAACAAGAACAGTGATATCATCAATCTTGCCTCCTGTAAATTTTTTCCCAGCCTTGCGAGACGCTTCTGAAAAAGGGGTTTCGCCATGTTCGTTCCTGGAATTGCACTCTGCAACTTCTGCTATAAGCCAAGCCAGTTCTTCAGGCGTCACTTTGTCATCGCCCTCACAGCAACTCGACTCTATATACCTCTCGATCTCCCTCGGATACACATTGTCGAATACCCCATCTGTCCCAAACACCACTATATCTCTGGCCTTGACTTCCACCTTGAATTCCTCGGCTTTCTCCGGCGTGTCGCTGTTCTTACTATTCCCCAGCTGATATGGCCTGTTGAACTGGTGCTGTTGCGTCGGCGACCGGAACACTAACTTGTTGTTTCTGAAGAGCATGAACCCACTGTCTCCGACGTTCACAGCATGCAAGTACTGTTTCTTAGGGTTTTGTTTTAGAGTGGCGATGCAGGCGGTGGATGAACCCTGGCTTTTTGTGTCATGGAAGGCCTCATCCAGTACAGTTCTAGGGTTGACGGATTCTCTGGGTTGGTGTAGGGCGTAGAACGCTGCGTTTTGCATGAGCTCGCGGGCGTATTGGCCGGCGTCAATGCCTTTCCGGACCCAGCCGCCGACGCCGTCTGCGATGCCGATGACGTTACGGCGGGCGCAAATAAAGTAGGAGTCTTCCCCTAAGGGTTTGCCGGGGATGGGCTTTGGGTAGTACGTTGCTGCGACGTCCATCTTCAGGTTTGGACGTTGATGATCAAGGGAAGGCTTGGATATCCCCGGCTTCTTGGCCGGCGGAAAACATAGTTCAGCTCCGACACGACGTTTTTTGATGATCATTGTTGAAGGTATGCAGTACGAAGGTAGTTTCAGTTCTGGATCGTGATTCAGGTAGAAAGAGCGAAGAAAGATGAGTTGTGATTTTAGAAAGTATTTAATCTCTTCATTGATGAACTGTATATAAAGCGATCGTTTTTCGATGGCCAAGATCAAAAAAGATATTGCACTAAGATAATCTCTTTTCTACTATTCTATTTAAATTTAAATTCAAATTATCAAATTAATACAATATTAGCATATCTTTTGCCATAATGACTATCTCGAGTCACAATAAATTACAATTGACAGTTGTAAATTTGCTGGCTCTGATTTGTAGATCTTGTCTTCAATAATTGTAAAAGCAGCTAAAACTTCTGTTACTAATTAATACGCGACGTATTTGGAATAAATAAAAATTACTATAATATAATTAAGGAATTGAACATATAAAGAAATTTTCGCACCTGAAAATAATGTGATAAAAAGAATAAATAAAAAAAAAGATCTCGCGCATATACTATATAGAATATGGTCTGATTAATTTAATGGCAAAGATTACTTTAATTTAATTGATTTATTAAACATCAGATAAGATGATTTAATAGCTTGTTGGCAAAGAGTACTCCTAACTCCTAAGTTCTGGCCAAAGAAACTCCTAAGTCACATGGCCAGTAAAATAAATAATAATAAATTTAAGAACAGAAATAGATATTCAACGAGTGATTCATATTTAGTGAAAAGCGGGGGCTCGTAATTCCAAATTCTTCCATTTATCTACTATATATTCTCAGACGGCGGAGAAACAGTATCTTACGGCTAGAAGAGGAAGGGGAGCTTGCAAATAATATTTCGGCTTTCTTCGAACAATTAATTGTTCACTACTTCTGGTAATCCAAGCATGGATAAGGCTCTAGATGCTATTGATGTTAAAATTGATGAGGGGATGAGCAGGATGTTATCGCATCCTATCCCACGGGAGGAGGATCGCGAAGCTGCTTTCAGTCTGGGAGGCTTTAAGGCACCAGGGCCAGGTGGATTCTCTGGTAATTTTTATCATGCTTCCTGGGGAGAGGTTGGGGACAGTGTTTATAATGTTGTTAAAAAAATTTTTGAGGGTTAACTTGATATTTTGGAGATTAATGACATTAATATTACATTAATTCCGAAAGTTGACAAACTTGAACACATCTCCTAATTCCATCACACTGGTCTTTGTAATTTTTGCTACAAGATTATCTCAAAATTGTTAGTTATGAGGATGAAGTCGTATCTAGATATGTGTCTCCCCAACTTAGAGTGCCTTTGTACCTGGTTGTCCTATTCATGATAATTAAGCCTATGCAGAAGTCTTCTGGTCCCGTCCGACCTGATCCAACCTAAGAAGGTCCAGTCTTATTCAGTCCTTTTAAAAATTAGTCCTTCAAGACTAAAAAGACTAAAAAGATCAAGCTATTACTTTAGGTTGGACTAGATAGAAAATTGAGCATCTCAATCACTTAGTCCAATCTGATCCTATTAAATTTATTTAATATAATTATAATTAATTTACTAATTTTATAATAACAAGTTAAGCTAATAACAACTTAAAGTTTGGTCCCTCACAGGCTCACACAGTTTGGTCACTTGCTTGTAGTCTTGCACAATGTAACACCTATCCTATGATCTAGAAACTTAACAAACAATTGTTGAGGAACAAAGGCTCCATTTATTTTATCTAATTCTAAGCATAACGTTTTTTTTACATCATAATTAAAATATAACCAAATTCTAAAAATCTCAAATCAAACCAGTTTATGGTGGACTACCATCCAATAACAATAAAAGCAATTAAAAAGAAAGTAATATAGTCCAAAAATGATAAAGGTCCTAAAGTCATGGCAAAAAGTAAATGCAGTCCTGCATATGTTGCAAGGAGTATGAGAGCTAAAGGCTTACTCCTCTGGTGCCTTCCCTTGATTCTTACTCTGGCCTTCACCTAGAAAATGTTAAAAAATGAGTGAGCACTAACGTCTCAGTAATTCAAAGTTTAACCATACATGCACAAACTATAATCACACAATTATACAATCAATTATATAAGTGAGTACATAAGAATCATTCAGTTATAATATAAGAATTTCATAAAAAATAGTTCATAACATGTCAATATGCAATACCAAAAATCTCTCTTATTACTCCATCCATCCTTATTCTACTAACTAAAACCATAGGCTTAAATACAGTCTAGCCCACATGCTAGACTAAACAAGCATTTGCAGTGCTTAAGATGTACCCAGCCAAAGATACAGAGCCCAAGCCCAAACTATGGCTGTAACAACCCAGAAAAAAATTTATTTAAAAATTTAATTAATTGACTAACATATAAATCTGAATCATCTCATTGTTTCAGCCTATAAGAAATTACCACTTTGCCCTTAGAATAATAAATAAAATAAGTGAGTTTAAGACAGAGCATACGTGTACTCCCTCGGCCATATGAGTCGGTTCACAAAGTAAGAGAGAGAAAGAGAAATTTGGAAGCTTATCACGATTCTTGCTCTTCATTCTTCAGTGATCACCAACTGTTCTTCTCCTTTGTATCTTTAGTAGTCACTGACCAGAGTGAAGCTTAGGTTACGTTGGGTTGATTTCTCTATGCTCCTTGCCTCTATTTTTCCTCTTCATTTTTTACTGTTTCTATCTGTGTCATCACCTTTGAGTGGCTTTTGGGACGAGAGACCGAATTGTAAAGCTACGGTGATGCTGTAGTGAGTCTAGGTTGTTGCTATTGATTCATTTGTTGTGTTTTGTTTGTGAGTAGCGTCTAGTTTTTCTACTCCCTAGTTCTCCTGCAAGCTTCACTTTTCTCCTTCCCATAATATGTGCAACGTTGGCTTTCTCTTCTGTTCAGTATTTAAGGGTCTTCTTCTTCCTCCTCTGCTGTTCATCATTGTCTAGGCTAGTCAAGTTGAGGTGAGGGATTTTTAGACCTTCTATTTATGGATTGGCTATACATGTGAGTGTGTGTTGCTGTCACTGCTATATGTGTGGAGCTACAACACTTTATTTTTGCTCTACCATCACCTATGCGATTATAGAAAGAAGGTTGAAAATTTAAGCTTGAAACCCATCTAAACTTGGTAATAATATATAAAAATTTTTCATTTATCCCCTCTGTGACTGTACGTGTATGCATAGAAAAAGAGGTATTTCTATTTAAATGAATATTGTGGTCTTGCAAGGAGGCAAGATGATATTATAGATTGGGATTCCATTTAAAAATGATTGAATTGGTGATATTGTAAGGTTTCAAAGAAGCTGAAATTTAGGAAGGAAAATATTAATATTAACTTGACAAATTATGCATGTATGTTGTTTGATAAAATACTTAATAGAAAATTTTACCTCAAAGAAATAGAATGGCATGGCTAAAGTTTTATGAAGGAAGTCATAAAGATGAGTGATAATGCTTGGACCAATTTTAAATCATAAATTTGGCTTTAAATTTTAGATGATGGTTAATTAAAATTCTATTAAGATTGGAAATCTATTAAAATTTTATTTATTTATCTATATCATGATAGGGTGTGAGAAAGAATGAGACCCTGACCAGAACTAAAGGAGGGATACCTTTGAGAATTTAGAACTCCAACATATAAATGAATAGCATCCCCTTAACTTATTTTTATTTTCATTTTCAATAAATTTTTATTGAAATATTTTATTCTTAGGAATTACATTGGCTTTGAAACTTCTGGAATATTGATGATCAATAATTGAATGATGATATGTGCATTTGTTTCCTCAAGAAATGTATTTTGAAGATTATAAAATTAGTTGTTTATAAATCTCTAAAAATTCTTTGTTATTCAATTACCGCAGGTTTATACATTATTTATGAAATATTATTTTTGACAAGTACTACATTGAACTTTGAAATGATTCATGCGAGTTTGATATTAAAAATGCAAATTATATTTTAGAAGTAATTATTCTTCTCGCATGTTTGAAATGTAATTTTTAAGACGACTCTAAACAGAACACAATTGCTAATAGCAGTTCCATTAGCCCACGTTTGATTTTATGGCCTGAGCTATGTTTGGTTAGTATTATCCTTGTGGACTATGTGTTAATGTTTGTTCTCATAGCTTCGGCTGTGTTTAGTTACTTACCCTCATAGATTGTGTGTCTACGTTTATTTTTATGGTATAAGTTGCAATTGGTTATTTACCCTCGTGGACTGTGTGTCCACATTTGTTACCTGTTTTGTTGACTTCTCAAAATTTTAAATGTTGACTAACATGTGTTTTCAAAATTTACATAATTTTGGCTAGCATTTATACCACTTTGATTTATATGTGAGTAAATTGTTTCCTTTAACAATGATAACATAAATTGCTTTCAATTTACTCATTTTTTATGATTATGATTACAAATTTATGAGTTATTTTTTTGAATTATTTTTAATTAGTTTACACTATTATTAGAGTTTGTTAATTTAAATTTTAAAATTTCACTTTGGGAATGCTATTTATTGGAAAACTTGTTTTGGCCTGAGATTTATTAGCTGATGCTGATCCCACCATCGACCTCTGAAAGGTAATATAGCTACATTGGGTGGAAATTTTGATTGGTACAATAATTACTGATAGGCAAATCTCAATATCTAATGGAAAACCTCCAGGTGATGCTATTGTTTATCACCAAGTCATTGAGAGCTTTGCAGTACCTTACTACTACTAGGCCATATATTACCTTTCCTATGAATAAGTTGAGTCAGTTCATGTCTAAGCCTGCAAATACTATTTGGGAGAATTACATTCTAGAATCACTTAAGTAAATTATTTACAAACAAGGACCAATAATGTGGCTCTTTGTTTTCCTTCTAGAATGAGACTTATTGTTAGTCTTTATCTATAAATAATTTATTTTAGTTCTTAAATGTGATTCTTTCTACTATTTTCAAGCTGTTAGGACACTAAGATATCTTAAAGGAGCCTACAAACTTAGGTTACATGTCCAACCTTTCCTACAATTAGAAC